ACAGATATCAAATCTATTCAAACTCAAACTCTTAGACTCTATGTAGGAATCTATGTAGTTTTTCTTAATCCATCTCAAACTCTATGCTAACATAAAAAACTCTATCTTATTAAGAACTCCTATTCACCCTTATCATAACAGCCCATACATATATCCAGACTGCGGCTTACCAAAAGCTAGTAGCCTGGTATTATAATGCCCGAGTCAGGAGACGCTACTTCCGAGTTGACAATCTTGGACTTTAGAAAGTTGTGGTGTTTCAGAATGATCTAGGTAAGTTGGGACTGAATTGGGAAGGTACTTATAAAGTATGACAATTGCTCGGTGAAAGGACGCACGAGCTCGAGACGTTGGAAGGGAGGTAGGAACCCTGTGCCTAGAACGTTAGCAACCTAAGAAAATATTATTTATGAGTTCGGGATTGATGATGTCCTCAATAATGTATGAAGTGATGACGTTATTGGAGAGGACGAAACTGGAGAGCACGTGTCCATCATCATACTCTTGAACTCTTCAAAACTTACCAACCCATCTCCATCGGAATCAACCCCACGAATGATCTTTTTTAGTCTGCGATCAAACACTTATCGTCCCACAGACTTCTGAGTACCTCTCCAATTCTTCTAGGGATATGGACCCATTCCCATCAACATTAAATATCATAGACGCGTGTCTCCGATCCTCTACAACAATTTCCGAATGAACCCTATTCGTATTTAAGTAAATAAACTTTTTTAAATCAATAAACCAATTGCCGTCCAAATCAACTACTTTCGCCATCTTCTGCAACGCTTCTTCCGTCGTCGGGTTTTCGAAGTTCTCCATTATCGAACCCAAGTAAATGCTAAACTACATATGGCCATTAAAAAGAGATATGAATGGAAATCTAAATTAAACCAGAAACAGCGAGGACCCGGCGGGTGGCTACGATTCCGGCCACCCGCTAGAGACATAGGAAGCACGGAGGGAGGCCTCTTAATTCAAACCTTTGGCTCTCATACCATGACATAAGACAAGGAAAGTTTGAAAAATTGCATTAATGAGTGTTATAATTGCATCATATTTATAGATTGAAACAGATATTAAACCTATTCAAACACAAACTCTTAAACTCTATGAGGACACTATGTAGTCCATTTTAATCCATCTCTAACTCTATCAAAACATAACAAATTCTATCTTATAAAGAACTGCTAATCACCTTTATCACAACAGCCCATAAATATATCCGGACTGCGATTTACCAAAAGCTAGTAGTACGGTACTATAATGCCTGAGTCATGATACATTACTTCCGATTTGAAAATCTTGGACTTTAGAAAGTTATGGTGCTTGAGACCGATCTAGGTAAGTTGCGACCGAATTGGAAAGGTCCTTATAGAGTATGACAAGCGCTTGGTGAAGGGACGCACGAGCTTGAGACTTTGGATGGGAGGAAGGTACCCCATGCCTAGAACGTTGGCAACTTAAGAAAGTACTATTTATGAGTTTGGGATTGATGATGTCCTCAATAATGTTTGAAGTGGTGATGTTATTGGAGAGGACAAACCAGGAGTGCGCGTGTCCATCATCATACTCTTGAACTTTTCAAAACTTACCAACCCATCTCCATCGGAATCAACCCAACGAATGATCTTCTTATAGTTTTCGATCAAACACTTATCGTCCCCCAGACTTCTTAGTACCTGCGCCAACTCTTCTAGTGATATGGACCCATTCGCGTCTACGTTAAATATCATAGACGCGTGTCTCAGATTCTCTTCAACCTTTTCCAAATCAACGCTATTCATGTTCAAGTCAATAAACATGTTTAAATCTATTACCCATTATAATAGTGTGGTATTATAATGCCTGAGTCAAGATACGATACTTCCGATTTCACAATCTTGGACTTTAGAAAGTTATGGTGCTTGAGACCGATCTAGGTAAGTTGAGACCGAATTGGGATGGTCCTTATAAACTATGACAAGTGCTCGGTGAAGGGACGCACGAGTTCGAGACGTTGGAAGGGTGGTAGGTACCCCGTGCCTAGAACGTTGGCAACCTAAGAAAGTACTATTTATGAGTTCAGGATTGATGATGTCCTCAATAATGTTTGAAGTGATGATGTTATTGGAGAGGACGATCGGGAGAGCGCGTGTCCATCATCATACTCTTGAACTTTACAAAACTTACCAACCCATCTCCATCGGAATCAACCCCACGAATGATCTTCCTATAGTCTGCGATTAAACATTTCTCGTCCTCCACACTTCTGAGTACCTCCTCCAACTCTTCTAGTGATATGGACCCGTTCCCATCTACGTTTAATATCATAGATGTGTGCTCGGATCCTCTACAAACTTTTCCGAATCAACGCTATTCGTGATCAAGTCGATAAACTTGTTTAAAACAATAAACCAATTTCCGTACAAATCAACCACCTTCGCCATCTTCTACAACTCTTTTTTCGTCGCCGGGTTTCTCAAGTTCTCCTTTTTCGAACCCAAGTAAAAGCTAAATTAGAATTGACTATAAAAAATAGATATGAATGGAAATCTAAATTAAACAAGAAACAGCGAGGACCCGGCGGGTGGCTACGATTCCGTCCACATGCTAGAGACATAGGAAGCATAGTGGGAGGCCTCTAAATTCAAACCTTTGGCACTCATACCTTGATAGAAGAGAAGGAAAGTTTGAAAAATTGCATTAATGAGTGTTATAATTATATCATATTTATAGATTAAAACAGATATCAAACCTATTCAAACTCAAACTCTTACACTCTATGTAGTCTATCTTTATCCATCTCAAACTCTATCCTAACATAACAAATTGTATCTTATTAAGAATTCCTAATCACCCTTATCATAACAGCCCATAAATATATCCGGACTGCGGCTTACCAAAAGCCAGTAGCCTAGTATTATAATGCCCGAGTCAAGAGACGCTACTTCCGAGTTGACAATCTTGGACTTTAGAAAGTTGTGGTGTTTGAGACTGATCTAGGTAAGTTGGGACCGAATTGGGAAGGTACTTATAAAGTATGACAAATGCTCGGGGAAAGGACACACGAGCTCGAGACATTGGAAGGGAGGTCGGTACCCCGTGCCGAGAACGTTGGCAACCTAAGAAAGTATTACCAACCCATCTCCATCGGAATCAACCCCACGAATGATCTTCTTATAATCGGCGATCAAACACTTGTCGTCCCCTAGACTTCTGAGTACCTCCTCCAACTCTTCTAGTGATATGGACCCGTTCCCATCTACGTTTAATATCATAGATGTGTGCTCGGATCCTCTACAAACTTTTCCGAATCAACGCTATTCGTGATCAAGTCGATAAACTTGTTTAAAACAATAAACCAATTGCTGTACAAATCAACCACCTTCGCCATCTTCTACAACTCTTTTTTCGTTGCCGGGTTTCTCAAGTTCTCCTTTATCGAACCCAAGTAAAAGCTAAACTAGAATTGACTATAAAAAAGAGATATGAATGGAAATCTAAATTAAACAAGAAACAGCGAGGACCCGGCGGTTGGCTACATTTCCGTCCACCCGCTAGAGACATAGGAAGCACGGTGGGAGGCCTCAAGATTCAAACCTTTGGCACTCATACCTTGATAGAAGAGAAGGAAAGTTTGAAAAATTGCATTAATGAGTGTTATATTTATATCATATTTATAGATTAAAACAGATATCAAACCTATTCAAACTCAAACTCTTACACTCTATGTAGTCTATCTTAATCCATCTCAAAGTCTATCATAACATAACAAATTATATCTTATTAAGAACTCTTAATCACCCTTATCATAACAGCCCATACATATATCCGGGCTGTGGCTTACCAAAAGCTAGTAGCCTGGTATTATAAAGCCCGAGTCAAGAGACGCTACTTCCGAGTTGACAATCTTGGACTTTAGAAAGTTATGGTGCTTGAGACCGATCTAGGTAAGTTTGGACCGAATTGGGAAGGTCATTATAGAGTATGACAAGTGCTCAGTGAAGGGACGCACAAGCTCGAGACATTGGAAGGGAGGTAGGTACCTCGCGCCTAGAACGTTGGCAACCTAAGAAAGTATTATTTATGAGTTCGGGATTGATGATGTCCTCAATAATGTTTGAAGTGATGATGTTATTAGATAGGACGAACCAGAAGAGCGTGTGTCCATCATCATACTCTTGAACTCTTCAAAACTTACCAACCCATCTCCATCGGAATCAACCGCACGAATGATCTTCTTATAGTCTGTGATCAAACACTTATCGTCCCCCAGACTTCTGAGTACCTCATCCAACTCTTCTAGTGATATGGACCCATTCGCATCTACGTTAAATATCATAGACGCGTGTCTCAGATGCTCTACAACTTTTTCCGAATAAACGTTGTTCGTGTTTAAGTCAATAAACTTGTTTAAATCAATAAACCCATTGTCGTCCAAATCAACCACCTTCACCATCTTCTATAACTCTTCTTCCATCGCCGGGTTTCCCAAGTTCTCCATTATCGAACCCAAGTAAAAGCTAAAGTAGAATTGGCTATAAAAAAGAGATAGGAATGGAAATCTAAATTAAACAATAGACAGCGGGGACCCAATGGGTGGCTATGATTCTGGCCTCCCTCCAGAGACATTGGAAGCATGGTGTGAGGCCTCTAGATTCAGACTTTTGGCTCTAATACTATGATAGAAGACAAGGAAAGTTAGAAAGATTGCATTAATTAGTGTTATAATTACATCATATTTATAGACTAAAATAGAGATTAAACCTATTCAAAATGAAAATCTTAGACTCTTTCTAGGACTCTATGTAGAGGCCAATGTGCTTTCAAAGTTGGCCAGTGCAGGCGACGTTACGAGAAGGGCATGTGTTACACGGGATCCACGATGGTTTTTGTGGAGGACACCGGGGGGGCTGGGCGCTCGCCCAAAAAGCATTAAGGCAAGGATATTATTGGCCTATGATAAAGGCGGATGCACTTGAGCTCGTCCGAAAGTGTGATAACTGCCAAAGGCACACCAACCTATTTCACCAGCCCACCGCTGACCTCAAGTACTTATCCATTATTATCCAGAAGGAAGGTAGGTACCCCGTGCCTGGAACGTTGACAATATTATTGGAGAGGACGAGCTAGGAGAGAACGAGCCCATTATCATACTCTTGAAGTCTTCAAAACTTACCAACCCATCTCCATCGGAATGAACCCCACGAATGGTCTTCTTACAGTCTACAATCGAACACTTATCGTCCCCTAGACTTTTGAACACCGCCTACAACTCTTCTGGTGATATGCACCCGTTCCCATCTGCATCAAATATCATAAACGCGTGTCTCAGATCCTTTACAACCTTTTCTGAATCATCCTCGCTCATGTTCAAGTCAATAAACTTGTTTAAATCAATAAACCCATTGTCGTCCAAATCAACCACCTTCACCATCTTCTACAACTCTTCTTCTGTCGCTGGGTTTCCCAAGTTCTCCATTATTGAACCCAATAGAGAAAGACCGACTTGATGACACTGAAAACATCGATGACAACACGTTCCGCGACCTCCAAATGGTGATTGCTCCAATCACGAACTGTCCAAATCGATTAGATCCAATGGCTCCTATGTGGGTGATCACTCAAATTTTGAGTTTGAAATCGGTTGAGTGGGTTTCTGACATCCGTGGAATTTACAGTCCACATGACGTTCGTGCATACCTGAGACACAATCTTGCTCTAAGGTTGAGTCATTTGGGTTGTTCAAATTTGACCCATAGGTCAGATTTCAGCCAAACTAGAGATTGGGCCAAATTCGCCTAAACTTGTTGTGAACTCCCATCCTGAGTTGAGCACCTTAGGCACGAGAGTGGGAAGCAATTGATGAAGGGTAATTTGGCCTAACCCGTTAGTATGCGAACACGTGGAGTAACCTGATGATTAGATGACAACTCAACATTTCCGAACACCTCAATAGGCCAGGTTAGCTCGAGCATCTCGGATACCTCGGCTAAGACCAAGGTCCGAGCAGCTTGTGGTGTCCCAACTTGCCGAGGTGCCACATAGCCCTGTTCTAGAAGCTAGCCAATCGTCTCCAACCTCTCCGGGATTACACCGCATGTCAACGAGCCTTATCCTTATCCCGCCTGGATCGGATGGACTTGATAAGCCTTATTAGCTCACACGAAGTCTATCTCCGGGTGCAAAATGGACTCTTGGTTATGCGGGCTGGAGATCTCCGATATGTTTCGTGAGGCCTACGACATTTCGCCTATATAAGGGCATCACCTCCCGCCTCACGAGGTACGCGTGATTTGGCTCTCATACTCTCATACTTATAAGCAAACTAGCTCGCTACAACACTCTTCGCTAACTTAAGCATCGGAGTGCCTACACCGGGTAAAGCACCTAGGGACCTCTGATACTGTTTTTCTTGCAGTTTGACCGGCCACGTGTTAGACCGATGTCAAAGCTACCTTCCAGTTAGGAGCAACTAGATCGCGCATCATCAAGAACCATGGGTGTTTATTAAATAAACACTGCCACATAGGCACTACTTTAGCATTTCCCCCATTATGTGAATCCGTACGCATAGGGACTTACAAAAGTAGGCTTTGGTTTATATGCGTGCTTATCGTTGGGGGAAGCTTCATTTTAGTGCATCCCCCAACGGGTAGGTGTTTATTCACTATTTTGTTGACGTGATGCTTAATGTCGCTTAAGTGCCAATAAATGAGTTCATTATTGATTTTCTCAGTTTTTCAAACAAATCAAGTACAAAACGTTTAGTAAATAAATATCCACAATTCCGGAAACATACATTTCTTAAAGTACGTTTTTTGACAATTGTCTAAAACCTCCCTTGCGGTTAATTTTCAGTAGCACTCCATTCACATGTGACATCACATGACTGATATATTTTTTAAAAATCCTAAAATACCCTTTTAAAATTCCTAAACTGTATGACCAACCCCTTACTTTAGACGCGAGAATGAAACAATTCTGGGCTGAGATCGAAGGTAACATTACCTGAACAAACGTTTTATTTTCACAGTTGAACCTCTGATGATGAGCTCTGCCTCTCAATCTCATATGGAAGCTTTTCTAATATTATTTCCACATCTTCCTCAAAAACCAACTATTGAACCTCCCCAGCTTGAGGCAATTACCAATGATCAAGTCAATGATACGCCCAGCTGAGGGGACAGAAACAAGCATCGAATCGAAAGGGATTTGGGGTTTTGTTCGGTTCTATGGAAAATCATCATCCGAATCTCTCCAATGGTGAGCCTATCCCTCAAATGTGGAGACTGCAGCGCCCTTCTAAAGTTTGTGGAAGAAGCTCAAAAACATGCAGAGCTCGCTTCTCACTCAAATATCTCCGATCAACGGAAGCAGTCCTAAATCTCGTTTGCACTACTTGCGAAAACCCTTACGGCCCTACCGATCCAACACTGAAAGTGATTTGCATACGCAAAGAACTGGGCACATTGATTTTTCTGATAAGAAGATAGAGCTGAACATGTATGGAGTCCTATCCTAAATTCGGAAACTCCAATTTCACAGGAAAGTAAGGTACATGATGCATCAAACACGAAAGATACAATAAGAAGACAGAGCTGAGCTCTGTATGAAGTCCTATCTTAAATTGGGAGGTTACTGGAACCCAATCTATTCTTTACATTTAGGGATGTTTAGGTTTTCTCAGATTCTTCCAACTTGAAAAAAGATATATATATTTTCACGACAGAGTATATCACTGAGCTGATGCAAGACAATACAAAACGCCAACCGAAGAGGGCCATGGATATAGCAACCGAAAGATATTTGTAGCACCTTGACCAAGGGTAGAGGAATAACGGAGGAGAACATCTGAATTTTCAAGTTGAACCTCAAATAACCACTTGTGCAAAAGGAGGGCAAAGATATTAGATGCAAAAGATTGGCTCCACAACTGAACAATCAAAATCAAGGATGGGTTTTACCATAACATAATGATCAGCAAGCACATTGTAAAAGTAAAGATGATTAATATCATCCTCCGCTGAAAAAACTCCATCACTATCCTTGTTTACAAGTAATATCTTGGGCACATACGGATGCCAACTTCTAAAGCTATGTCAGCAAACAACTCTCCTAACAAATCAAGTCTTGATTGAGAGGCTAGTGCCCGTTGGAGATTTTTCTTGATTTATTGGGTAAGTGCAGTTAGATAAGCAGCTCTCCTTGTGACATTCTCGTGAAACCTATAAGAGAAACGCCTCTTTATGAAACTGAAGCTACTTGAGTTAGGCGTCATTTCTATTGTTACTTGAGTTCTGCTTTTATTCTTCCTATTTATTTTTTATCAGTTGGGTTTTATTTTGAAAATTCGAGGAATAGTGGAGGATAAATACGGACATTTTGTTTTTCAATTTTGATTTAAAGCTTAACCTGACATATTTCTGTCTTATCTAAGCTTAAAGCCTTAAAATTTGAATTTATATCATGCATCATGCTTTGTTGTATGCCTGAATCTGTTAATCTTGTATCTAGTTTTTTAAAATCTGAATGCTCAAAAAGACAAAGTACTTTAAAAGATATCTTTTGAATCGGTTAATCTTGTATCATGCATCATGTAAAAGTCAAATAGAAACCTTTTCCACTAATATTAACTCAAGGGACAGAGTTTGAGCTACAACTCATCTTTTGAACTCATATGACTGAATTTTTCTTGATACGGGTGGGAAGATGAAAAACAAGGGTTGGGCGGTCAATCATTTGTGATTAATCTTTAGAAAAGGCACAATTAAGATAAGAGAGATTTTTTTCTTTACAAAAGGATTTTGTTTAATTCGTTTTTATAGGGGGCACACCCACTGTGCTTCACGATCAACAGCCACCACTGGTCCTCCCCACCTTCCCATATCTCCTTCTCCCTCTTCCTTGTTCTTTTTCTTCTTTTTTTTGGTTCTCCTCCAACAACGATGACTCGATGAGATGGGGAACAATCTTCTTCTTCTTTGAGTGCTGAATAAGAGCAATGTTGGGTTTTTGATTTAGGCACGATTGGATTCAAGGCTTCCTTCTCTACCTCCGTATGCATTCAGATGCAACTCAAATGCAGTACAATTTGGAAATGTTTTCTTCAGGAAGCAACATTTTCAGTGTTAAGAGGCCTATTTGGCGCTACTGACTTGTCTGGCTCATGCTATTGCCCGGAAGGTGAAATCTTTTGATGGTTTTCAAAGGTGGGACCCATTAGTCATCACCTAGCTAGTTAATTGGAACGCAAGTTATTGTTTAAGTCGTCATTTTCGAACAGCCGTTAATCCGGACGACGGTCAGACTGTTGGGCTAGAAACTGTCCAGGCAATTGGTTCTATTTTATTCCAAATTCGGTTCCTGGTCAAAAACCGTTGAATCGGTTAATAATCTATTGATCCGAGCAGTTGAATCATTGACCCGTTCAATGGTTTCTGGCTGTTTTTTATTTTT